AGAGCCACCTCGCAACCCATAGTTATCCAGCCGCGGGATGTTAAAGATTGAGACGAGATTTAAATCTTATTATTTATATTAAAACATCATTCAAATATAATTATATTTTTATTCTTTTTTTTAATTAATAATTTTAATTGATTATAATTGTTTGTAGCCTTAATCAATTAAATTTTTAAAATACACGAACGAACAAATCTTTTTTCATGTTCAACTCGTTTATATATCGAGGTCAAAAAATTGTTCGTGTTTGGCTTGTTAACATAGCGAACGAATCAAACACGAGTTGTTTATGAACAACGGCCATTTTGACAGCCCTAGTTGTGGCTGTTTGGGAGAAGGCTGCAACAAGTGAGGGGTGTTGCTGTAGTGAAGGATGAATGCAGAGGATGAAAAGGTCGGAGATAAATGCTTCATCGGGAACTAGATACAATCAGAGCACCACCTCACCCGTTGGAGCAAATCACCATCTCAGAATAAAATACATCTGACAACCCTAGAAGGGAAAAGAAGTGATGTGGATGAAAGCAATAAAAAACAGACACAGAACACGACGAAAAAAACACATATTGACCTAATGTAACTAAGTGGGCCCCCTCTCACAAGGACACGGTAATCCCCTACAAGAAATGTTGGTCGTCTCTTAGGCTACTGTTTTGAATCAATCCCTACTGCCCTGGATGCCTCGTGTTTGGTCCAAAATGAGAGGCGTGCGCATCTTCCAGTTTCGCATATGGGATTCCCTTGTCGAGTTCCGTTGGAAGTCCCGCGTAAGTCTCCCGAGGTTGGGGAGCGTGGGATTCCTCTGTCAAGCTTCGTTGGATGCCCCGCGTAAATCTCCCGTGGTTGGGGGAGCTTCGACCTCATTCGTCAAAGCTTCTGTCGTCTCATCTCATGGAGTCAATCAACCACATTGAAGGCAACAAAAATGTTGCAATCTATCAGTAAGTCAATCTTGTAAGCGTTGAGTAAATATACTTTCTCTTTTAGCGCCACTAAAATTGGAACTACACATAGATCATATCCTCATGAATCGAGTCTCGAATCATCAAATTTGTAATTGACTTCTTTCACTCATCATACTTGTTTGAGTGTATTTGATAAACAAGTATGTAAACATGAATCAACTCTGTGATGAAATGTATGGCAGGTTGGATCACACCGAAGTGTAACCACCTATGAGAGATATTTTTTTCTTTTCTAAAAGACCTATGTCCGATTGTAAAATACTCTTTCCCGGTGATTCCCAATGCAGTGGTCCATCCATCCTATCTGATCATCTGTCCATGGATGTATTATTGAACTGACTTTAATACTTTAATGACTCCATATAGTCTTCAAAAAGTGGCAGACAAGCTTCTAATCTCTGATATGTTGGATCTCCCTTAGTAGGGCAACTCAAGAAATAAACTATATATTTGAGAAGGTTTCAATTCTCTTATCCGGTGTTGTCATGAGTCTGGTGTCGGTTTCTCAAACTGATAATCGTCTTGGACAGTGAACGTTACTTTTGTTGGTCTCTCTCATGGGCTCAGTTTGAACTATGTGCATCTCTCTCTCATCAAATGGAAGTTGATTATCATCCTCTTTGTTCACACTTTCTTCTGTATTTACTGTGTCATTGTCCATTTTTTTAATTGTTCTTCTTAGTGAAATAGATTGTACTCTTGTTTGAGCAATTTAATGCATTGTGTCCAAAAAAGTGACACTTGACACACTTCTGGTTGGGATTGATTTGGGAATGTCAGTTGGCTGAAACTATTCTCTACTCTGAATTAGGGCTGTGAATGAACCGATTTTGAGCCGATCCAAGGGTGGGTCGAAATCAGATCGAAATTATTTTAAATGGATTGAAATTGGATCGTGGCTCGAATGAACCTAATTTCAATCCGATCCGGATCTAAATCAAACAATTTATGAGTCCGCTCTAATTGTAAACGTGTCGGCTCGAATGTCATTTTTCGCTTGTGAGCCGGATCGATCCGACTCGAAAACCTAAACTAGTTAGCTCGAAATCTTGCTCGAGTCGGCTCATATCAAAATCCTGCTCAAGCTGGCTCGAAGAACATAATGAGCCGGCTCGAAAAATTTTATTTGAACAAAATTTCTATTGATATTAAACACAAAAAAACAAAATAGAGAAAAAAAGAAATATATTTTTTTTAATTGAATGAATTATCAGATTACAATTTTATAAAATATAATAAAACAAAATAAATATTATTTGTACCCATATAATCAAAACTTATAAATTACAGAAAACATATTACACATTTACAAATTACAATTGACCATATTATCCGTCTTCTTCTCAATTCATTAGTAACAATTGTTCCGTCTGTGTACAACCCAGCGAGCAAAGGAGCACCCACAATCAATCTCCAAGTCCTTGCCAGAAACCGATGAACTCCTTCAATCCCACTATTGCTCCATGATTTTGAATCTCTGCATGCGACTAAAATATGCAAGAATAAAAATGAGAAAGCTAAAGCCAAATCTTCTTTTGTTTCTATAGCTTCTGAACATGAATAAAAAGAGCAAGCTAAAGCCGACAGATGGTCTATCCAACTTCTCCAAGTATCAAACCTTGATTTATAAGGCAATGAAAGGGCTCTTTGGTATAAACAACACCAATGTCACAAAGAACCTGACATTTTTTTAAGTTATAATAGATATGAATATATTAGTAAAAAGATATACAAATATTTAACTTTTAACAAAATTCTTCAAAAGATAAATGATGTTAGAACCTAAAAGTGCTTCAAACAGTCTACTCAGTTAACTTCTAAACTAAGAAAATTGAGTGGTACTAGTTTTAGCAAGACGTTACTGAATAATTGGATTGCAGGGCTAGTTTACAATGAAATTCTCATGGAACTTTAGCAAGACATTACTTTTAAACCTTCCACTGAAGATATCACATTTAGTATGGCTTTACTAATATCATATAAATTCTGATGCTTGTAAGAGGTTGAAATAGCCAAACGAACTGGTTCAAGAAGTCCATGCTACATTTAGTATATCATTACAGTGGTATGTATGTACATGCTAAATTGACCTTATACAAAATGAGGATCAAATGAACAATCTAAATACAATTAACTGCAAATATGCACGTGTACTGATATACTAAACGCACACTTTTGAATCAATTGAGCCATATCCACCAAACTTCCAAACTATAAGCCTTAAAGCATTTATAGTTAAAGTAACACCTTACTAAAACATATTTAAACTTCATCAAGTTACTTGAAGACCGCCATTGGAAGTCAAAATAACATATTCCATCGATATCAAGAATTAAATAAAAAAAGTTCAAAAAATTTCCAAGTTGACATAGTAAACTCCATCCAAAATTATTTGGCAAGTTGGTGGGCCTTGAAACGGGTTTAAAATCTATGTTGAAACCAACAAATTTGTAATTTTCAAATTTTAGATAACAGTCTAAATTGCCTATCAATATTTCAGGATATCACCCATTATTTAAAAACACTAAGATTCCAGATTACCGGTTGAAATGCTCCGTATAAAACATCCAATGTGGATGCGTAGTTGGCCATCAAACGGATAATACAAATCAATTTGATCATTATCAATGCAATCCGATCCTACAGTGGATCGAAATCAGATCGAAAATAATTCGATCCAAAAAATTGGCTCATAGCTCAGCTCGATCTATTCAATCTGATCTCGATTCAAGCAGAAATTCAAATCAATTTTTGAGCGATTAACGAGCTTCGAGCCAATTTCTCAGCCCTACTCTGAATTAGTTTCTTTTCAGACATGTTCGACTTGGATGTTGGGTTGGGTGTACTTTTGTTATGGCTTAATTATGTCTGTAAGACTTGTTAGTCATCTGGTGATGTTGCCTCTCTAGTTTTGAAACTACATTCTGAATAGCCTGACTGTAATGAACTGGTATGTAATGGCGTTGCATCTTAAATCAAGTAGTAATTTTACTCTTCTCTTCTCATTGTCGAAGAATCTTCAAGTTTTTCCACCACCAAGATGTACTCCTCTTTAATTTGTTCGCTGCTAGTTTCACCATTATGTCCGGTTGGAGATCCTGGTACTCAAAGACATGCTCCAATGTCCAGAGTTATTCCATGAACTCGTTCGGATTTAAGTAGTTGTCAAAATATGGTAATCCACATTTACTTTATAATCGTAATTTTTCTGATATTTCATGGCATATCTTCGGCATAGTGGTTTCATCTCTGGAATTTGTTTGGTGGAAAGGATTCACTGTATTCTTTCGATCGACAAGTTAAAATGGTGGCTACGAGTGACCCTTCCACATTGCCTCC